GCTACACACCGAGGATATATATATATATATATATATAGCTAACACAATATGGCCGCTGTTACAGGCGTCAGCGTGGTGCTGTTCCTAGTGTCGCGCTTCAGTCCGTACGAGTGGCGCGTTGAACAGTGTGGAGGTGATGCGGAGATCGTCAATGACTTCACGATCTTCAACAGCCTGTGGTTCTCGCTCGGTGCCTTCATGCAGCAAGGCTGCAACATCACGCCAAGGTACGCGTGTTAGTGTCAACGCTATGTCACGTCATGGTCAGCGCGTGTCAGTGTCAACGCTACTACATGACAAGGTAGGCGCAAGGCTGCAACATCACGCCAAGGTGTCAGTGTCAACGCGGCGTTATGACATGGTAAGCGTGTGTCAGTGACAACGCTATGTCACGCCATGGTCAGCGCGTGTCAGTGTCAACGCTACTACATGACAAGGTAGGCGCAAGGCTGCGACATCACGCCAAGGTACGCGTGTGTCAGTGTCAACGTTACGGCACGGCTAGGTAAGCGTGTGTTAGTGTCAACGCTACGACGTGACAAGGTAAGCGTGTGTCAGTCTCAACGCTATTACATGACAATAACGTCGTTAGACAATTACCGCGTTCACACGGTAATGGTTTGGCTCGAGCTAAATGGGCTAAATTTGGCTCGGGCCGGTTTGAGTCGGAGCGTTCACACGTACGCAATCGAATACTATCTGTCGCGAGATGGCGTTATGTACGATTCAGTGTTTACATCTGTTTCGAGTTCAATTATCAATCTTGAAAACATGCATCCTGATCAAATTTTTCGAATTTTTATACTGTTTTGGACTTTATTTCGTTTTACACGTTCGACACTCGCGCTACTGCTCTACCGATTTAGCTGGTGCTAAAATTTGGCTCGGGCCTGGTCAGACGTTTTCGATGGAACCAAATTGGCTCGTGCTAACTCGGCACGGCCCCGAAAAACCGTCCGTGTGAACGTTCGGCTCGAGCCAAATTTGGCGCGGGCCTCATTAGGCGCGGGCGATAAACGTCCGTGTGAACGCGCCTAATATATACCATTACAGATTGTCGCAGTAGCTGTTAGAATGCCGTCGTCTTTCTATCGCATGCACATGCGCGCGTCACTAGTAAAGCAAAATGACGCAGCAGTAGTCGCGGTTACGCATTTCACGTGTTTATGTTGGTGACAACGGTAGTGGCACTTGTGCGCGACACTGCGTTTAGCTTGGTGACAACTGTAGTCTCAGATGCACGCGACACTACCTCATCCGTGGTGACGCAGCAGTACAGTATATGTCTCGTGTTTAGGTCGGTGTCAGGCCGGATTGTCGGGTCGGTGTGGTGGTTCTTCACCCTCATCATGATCTCCTCCTACACTGCCAACCTGGCCGCCTTCCTCACCGTGGAGCGCATGGCCGCGCCCATAGAGAGCGCTGACGACCTAGCGAAGCAGATGGAGATACAGTATGGAACCTATATAGGAGGGTCCACGTACAAGTTCTTTGCTGTAAGTATCTTGATTTTTGCGTTCGTTAAAACCGATGTAACGGCGGAGTAAAGACAAAGAAAACGCGATGATCTGCTCATTGCTATAGTGTGGTGTCTTTCTCTGTACACTACGATGTAGAAATCTGTACAACACGATGTGTAGTTGCCAGGGCTGCCAACATTGGGTGATAGGTGAGAGTGAGATGCCAGGGAGCAAAGCGACCGAGCGGGGGGTGGGTGTGGGAAAATGCACCAATTTGTGCAATTTGGTGCATACTAAAGTGACTGTTTTCAGATATTGTAAGATTTTTTTTGCTGTGCGTGAGATATTTTAGCGTTTTATTCATGAAGAGATATTTATGCGTGAGATATCTCAGCATTTTTTTGCTGTGCGTGAGATATTGTAAGATCAGCGTGAGAGCGTGAGATTTGGTCAAAATGCGTGCGTATCACGGTCAATGCGTGAGAGTTGGCAGCCCTGAGTTGCTCATCTTGCATAAAAGACGCAACGTCTACACACACGCTTGAATACATACGTATTTTCGTTCTCGGACCACGTCCGGCATTTTGTCCATGTAGACCCGCGTTGTTATTACGAACAAATTGGATTCTGTTCACGGCTACTCTTTAGACTACTACGAGTGGGGCTACGCAACATAAATGAGCCGGTCTATTAATTACTAAAGCTAATACATGCTTAATGGGATTGCGTGCATGCATAAAAAGAAAAACAAATTTATATGAGCAATAAAAGAGAGCATTAAATGCCTCTATATACATGATAATGAGACTGATAATGTATAATGTATGCACAAGACTCAGACAAGTTACCCTTAGCTTTGAATGTCTGATAGATACAGTCGCTGCAAATGAGATATATGTATACTTATGGCAGTAAATGCAATATTACCGTCTTTATGGCAAAGCCAGAGCTTTGTAGCCGAATCAATAAGTTGAATTTGCATGCTAAATATTTCCTAGAGAAGCAATTGTATTTCGTATAAATACGTTATATCTGATATGACATGTAATGAATTTAAAGGCGCAGACGATGTGCGAGAGATTCACTTTTAATTTAAAAGCACGCAGCACGCAAACATATCTAGTTTTGACATTTTTAACGCATGAACAATTTTTAGTTTACGCATTTAACTAACGATATCGCGTTGAATTTTCGTCTGCAGAGTTCATCGCTTCCACTCTACAAGAGAATGTGGTCCTACATGAGTACACAGAAACCGTCCGTGTTCACAGCGTCAACTAGGGCCGGTATAGAACGTGTCCGAAATTCAAAGGTATGCGATAGTAGTGGCCTCCTCACACTTGCGTATAACAGGAGGCTCATCGTATCAAGTGCGTATTATAAGAAGGGGTTGAATTCTTCCTTCCTAAGCAAGCGTCCTTCTAATGATCTTGATCGTATATATATATATATATATATATATATATATATATATAAGCTGAGTCGATTGTTACAATATAAATTTCAAGTGTTTAGGTTGGTGTCCACGGTAGTGTCACATGCACGCGACAGAATGTTTAGGTTGGCGACAATGCAGTTCCACATGCACGCGACACTACCGATGCATGCGTGGTGACGCGGCAGTACAGTATACCGTGTGCGCGCATCTCTCGTGTTTAGATCGGTGTCGGGCCGATTACAGCTGCGTCAAATATACATATCGTCAAGAGCGTATAAAGAAGGACATACACTTCTTTATACGCACTTGATATCGTATATACAATCAAATATAATTACAACTATGTGGAGTTCACTGTAGTTGAGTACATTGGAGGTCGTGTGCAGCCGCGTACGGATAAAAGTCCCGGTGGTGCAAACCCCGAAACTCGCTTGCTCATTGGTTGGCGGCTTTCTGATTGCAGGGTCGCTCGAATATAGGATTAAACTTGATATTTATCGGCGGTGAAAGCCCTCATAGGTTAAACCGCCCAAAGCCGGTAATGGCACGCGCGTCCCTTTACCTCTATTTCGACTCTAGGGAATATCTTTTCGCGAGACGAGTCCACATCCATCATGATCATTGCTGTTTCGTGTTCTCTGTTCATATGCCATTGCCGCCTTTAGTAGAGCCGCGCGATAACACAACTACGCCGGGTGAACAGTCAATTTAGGAACACTGCCGCTTGCAAAACGGATTCAGCGCTGAAAGGAACATGTCTCTCTAACTCTACATCGGAAAGAGTTTTCTGAGCACCCCCAATGAAAATATTAATCCCGTAAAATGTCCTGCTTGTAGAACAACGTAGGAACGTTTCTCCAGGGGGAAACGTTTCTCGGGTGGGTGGGGGGGGGCTTTACCAAGCACCTAGACAGGCATCCACAGGGTACACGAAAGATACGCATCCTACTGTTCGACCTGTACGTATAATTGTATAGTCCGCAGGTCTGCCTGACGCAGTGTTGAAATTGCCGCATACAGTGAATATTAGAGGGTCAGACACTCTCGGGTATTTATCCGCAGCCAGACAGTAGACCTGTAGACCTGTAGACCTAGCTGTATACGTGTATACGTGTATACGTCGAACGATGACGTCAGCTCGTAGTGTCTTTAGCAAACAGCTCGTGACCACTGATCTATCTATATATATCTATCTATCTATATATATATATATATATATATATATATATATATATAATATATATATATATATAGTTCGCATATGTGCTAATCTAATCCGGGGTGCTAAACTAGAATTGGGCCCATAGTTCTAATTGCTGCCACCAGGAGGCGGACATGGCGATCGCTGGCATGACGATTACGTCCGAGCGCGAACGCGTCGTTGACTTCTCAAAGCCTTTCATGACCCTCGGCATCAGCATCATGATCACAAAGCCGGAGAAGTCGAAGCCTGGAGTGTTCTCCTTCATGAACCCGCTCTCCTACGAAATCTGGATGTGCATCTGCTTCGCGATGATAGGTAAGAGGACGACGACGATGACGATGACGGCTGTGACGACGACGATGACGATGACGGTTGAGACGATGATGGTGATGACGGTTGCGATGGCGATGGAGACGACAGCTCTAAAGACGACGATTACAATGACGACTGCGACGACGACGACGATGACAATGACGACTGTGATGACGATGGCGATGACGGCTGTGACGACAACGATGGCGATAACGGCGGTAACGACGACGATGGCGATGACATTGTGACGACGACCACGACGCCAGCTAACAGCAACGGGTTACCGTTACGAGCAGCTGTTATGAGCAGCTGTTACGAGAGCTGTTACGAGCCAACCGTTACGAGCAGCGTTAGACCACCATGATCGTTCACGAATCTCTTACATCAACGAGATTCACGCAACCGATGGTCCTCCCCTTATAGGCTATATATATATACAGTAGGCTGTATATATATATAGAGAGAGAGAGAGAGAGAGAAAGAGAGAAAGAGAGAGAGAGAGAGAGAGAGAGAGAGAGAGAGAGAGAGGAAGAGAGAGACAAGGAGAGAGAGAGAGAGAGAGAGAGGAGAGAGGAGAGAGAGAGAAGAGAGGGAGAGAGAGGAGGAGAGAGAGAGAGAGAGAGAGAGAGAGAGAGAGAGAGATGGAAAGAGAAAGCGCGAACCACGATATATAATATATATATATATATAGTAACACAAGATTGGCCGCTGTACAGGCGTCAGCGTGGTCTGGTTTCTAGATGCGCGCTCAGTGCGTACGAGTGGCGCGTGTGAACAGTGTGAGGCGATGCGAATAGTCAATGACCTTCACGATCTTATCACAGCCTGTGCGTTTCGCTCGTTGCACTTCATGCAGGCAGAGGCTGGGAACATCACCCAAGGTACGCGTGTTTAGGTAACGCTATGTCAGTACATTGTCAGCGTCGTGCTCAACAGTAAACGCTTACTAAACATGACAAGGTAGGCGGCAAGGCTGCAAACATCACACGCCAAGGTGTCCAGTGTCAACGCGGCGAGACATGGTAAGACGTGTGTCAAGTGAACCACTACGCGTATGTCACGCCAGTGGTCAGCCGGTCAGTGTCCAACGCTACTACATTGACAGAGGTAGGCGCAAGGCTCGGACATCTAGCTCCAAGGTACCGTGTGTCAAGTGTCAACGTTACGCACCGGCTAGTAAGCGTGTGTTAGTGCAACGCTAGCGAACGTGACACAGGTAAGCGTGTGTCAGTCTCGACGCTATTACATTGAACAATAACGTCGTTAGACATTACCGTGCGTTCACACGGCGTAAATGTTTGCTCGAGCTAAATGGGCTAAAATTGGCTCGGCCGGTTTGAGTCCGGAGCGTCACTACGTACGCAAGCGAATACATATCTGCGCGAGATGGTCGTTATGTACGAATTTCAGTGTTTACATATGTTTCGAGTTCGAATTATCAATCTTGAAACATGGCATCCCTGATCAAATTTTACGAATTTTTATACATGTTTTGGACTTTTATTTCGTTTACCACGTTCGATGCACTCGCCGCTACTGCCTCTGATTACTGTTACTGAATGAAAATTTGCTCGCCTGGTCAGGACGTTTCGATGGAAACCAAATTTGGCTCGTGCTAACTCGGCCACGATGTGCCTGATAAAACGTCCGTGTCAACGTGTCGGCTCGAGCACAAATTATGGCGCGGCCTCAGTTATGCGCTGGAGCGATAACTCCGTGACGCCGCTAATATAGTACCCATATTACAGATATGTCGCGAGTCAGCTGGTGTTTAGAAAAAAAAATACATGATAAATAAAGAATCCGCCTGTCTTCTATCGCATGCACA